AAGTACAAAATGTCCACATTTTTTTTTAATAATTTGTAATGTAATAAGCAATAGAAAGTTTGTCTCAGGTGTCTACCTTGTGTAGCTTCCGGGGATCAACGGCCCCGCGGCCCGGTCTCCGACCAGGCCGTCTGGTTGGTCAGCTGATCAATCAGGCTGTTGCACTGATATTTTATTTAAGCTCTTTTTTTATTACCTTTGAATGGTGCATCATATTGTTTGTTGTAGTCGACGACAAGAAGGTCACCCTCGAGGGCTAGGTCCCTCGAGGAGGACGTAGACATTCCCCCGTGTACCATCTGCTCATCAGGGGTGAAAGATACTCTGCCCATTTGTTTCCGCCTCCACCGGGGATCGAACCCGGAACCTCAGAACTACGAATCCCGTGCGCTGTCCACTCAGCTACCAGGTCCTTTCAACATAAGCTACGCACTGAGACTCTGAACCGCATGTTGCCAGCCCAACCCTCACGACACACACCTTAAGAGGCCCGTCGGCACCACAGGTACAGATGCCCTCGTCTGAGTACAGGCTCAGAGAGACATACTAATAAACCTTCCTAGGCAAGAGTCAAGCTTAGAAGGGGAGGAAGGGGAAGGAGGGGCGAGGAAGGGAAGGAGGGGGGGAGGTGACGTGAGGAGGAGGAGGTTGGGGATGATGAGGGGGTGAGGGGTAGAAGGGGGGAGGGGGGGGGAGGAGGAGGAGACACACACTGACTGCCTGAGACGTGACAAATGAATCTGTGGTGATGGTTGTGTCAGCTTTCCCATGGGTCGGGAGGGCCGAGATAGGGAAAGGAACGAATGAAGGATAAACAAAGAGAGAAGGGACGAAGAGAAGAAGCGATGGGAGGAGAAACGAAAGGAATACGAAAGACGGGGGACGAACAATGGGAGGAAACACGAAGAGAAGATTAGCTAGGAGAGGAGAAACTAAGGGAAGAGGAAACGAAGGGAGAAGAAGGGGTGGCAGGAGTGAGGAACAGTGGAGGGCCTCTAATATCTATACTTGAAACCGTGGCCGGAGTCTGCCTCCAGCCCTTCAATCCCAAGTCCATTACGATTCTTTACTACTCGGATACTCTATAAATTCTTTATAATATGTTTTAGGCTCAATCGGGCGTACTTATTTGTCGCCTCATTCGTGTTCTGGCAAAGGCAACAGCGTGTCTTTGTCCATTATGTACATTTCACTTAGTGTTCTGCACCGTGATTATGTCTCCCTGCTTCTGTAAGATTTAGTTCATATACTCTCTCCTCTTAACTTATACCTCTCGCCTCTGGAACTTGTCTGCCGGCATATTTCTCAGCTCTGGAACGTCAGGTGATTTACCTCTGGAGTTGCTCCACCTTCATCTTGTGTTTGACGGAAGACTTTATACTGGCGATATATATTCCTGAGCCGGGCTGACAACACGAGGTATTCAGAATTCTGAATGGATACTCGTTCAGGTTTCGGAAGTCAGAGTGGCTGAGTGTACTCACTTACATGTGTTTGCAAGGTCGAGCCTCCAGCTTTATGAACTCTGCTTCTCTCAGTTACTGGTGTGTCAATGTCATGTCTCCATTTCCTCGATTTCGATTGCCATACCTTTTTTGGAACCTGTTTATGGTCTCATCTGTACAATATCTCTCTGTTCATTCCATATTGACAAAGTCTCTTACACAGAAAAGGGGTTTTCCCGGAATCTCTATGGCTTCTCTGTAAACCTTTAGCTTCCACCCATAGTCTCTTGGGCGACCGTTTCCCTTTTTGAGTATTGGTTCTGCCTACTTTGTCAGTCCACTTAATATTGTACCTGTTATATCTTGAGGTTATCTTGAGATGATTTCGGGGCTTTAGTGTCCCCGCGGCCCGGTCCTCGACCAGGCCTCCACCCCCAGGAAGCAGCCCGTGACAGCTGACTAACACCCAGGTACCTATTTTACTGCTAGGTAACAGGGGCATAGGGTGAAAGAATCTCTGTCCATTGTTTCTCGCCCGCGCCTGGGATCGAACCCAGGACCACAGGATCACAAGTCCAGTGTGCTGTCCGCTCGGCCGACCGGCTCCCTGTTGTCACCATATCCTGCTGCTGCTTCATCCCTATAGTGAGGTGAGGTTTGAGATGCGTCAGTCTCTCGAGTTCAACCTCTCAGTTATGGAACAAATCTAGCTGCATATCTCTGAACATTCCCTAATTTCAGACTGCGGTCTTTTATCAAGTGGAGATTCTATACCTGGAGATGACTTTTATATAAGTTGCATAAAGTAACCTAATGGCTTTAATATTTCTGAAGGCTATTCTGATTTTTACCTGTTTCTGGCATGTAATACGCGATATTTGACTAATCTGTTCCACGGGCGTCTGATTAAGTGATATGTATTTCTCCTAAATCGTCCTGTGCTTCACAAGTTGCCTCCCTGTTAACGTGTATTACCCCAGGCTTTTCTTCTCACTAAAGTTCTTATCCTCATAACATTGCACTTAACTGGGTCGAAGTTTAGCAATCATTTTTCAATCGTCTCTGAAGCGCATCTAGGTCTTCTAGGAGTTTCCCAGAGTTTTCGTCTGCTCTTACTCCTTCTTTAAATCGGTGATCGGACAGCGGTGTTGGCGGCTCCGGCATGTAATCCAGCACGCCCCGCTCCTGTGCCAGGTAAGCTACGGGCTCACCATAGCCCGTGCTACTTGGAACTTGTTCCGAGTAGCTGAATCTATAACAACAACTGTAATCCAGCGAGCGCCCAAGTAACCCTTTTTTATAATTAAAATATTTACAGAAATTCTATAATACGAAACATTTTAGTATTATTAAGTGCATAACTCAATAAATTAATGCCATAAATTCATACGTTGGTTGATAACATTATTAGCTCGACATTGTAGGTGGAGCAACGGTCTGAGTTTTAATAGAGAACTATCAGAGTATTTCGTTGAATTCGGCGCGAGATTTTGCGAGTTAACGAGTCAGGCCCGTGGAGGATGATGAACGACCCTAGCTCGTGGAGGATGATGAACGACCCGAGCTCGTGGAGGATGATGAACGACCCTAGCTCGTGGAGGATGATGAACGACCCGAGCTCGTGGAGGATGATGAACGCGACCCTAGCTCGTGGAGGATGATGAACGACCCTAGCTCGTGGAGGATGATGAACGACCCGAGCTCGTGGAGGATGATGAACGACCCTAGCTCGTGGAGGATGATGAACGACCCTAGCTCGTGGAGTATGATGAACGACCCTAGCTCGTGGAGGATGATGAACGACCCGAGCTCGTGGAGGATGATGAACGACCCTAGCTCGTGGAGGATGATGAACGACCGAGCTCGTGGAGGATGATGAACGACCCTAGCTCGTGGAGGATGATGAACGACCCAAGCTCGTGGAGGATGATGAACGACCCTAGCTCGTGGAGGATGATGAACGACCCTAGCTCGTGGAGGATGATGAACGATCCTAGCTCGTGGACGATGATGAACGACCCTAGCTCGTGGAGGATGATGAACGACCCTAGCTCGTGGAGGATGATGAACGACCCTAGCTCGTGGAGGATGATGAACGACCCTAGCTCGTGGAGGATGATGAACGACCCTAGCTCGTGGAGGATGATGAACGACCCTAGCTCGTGGAGGATGATGAACGACCCTAGCTCGTGGAGAATGATGAACGACCCTAGCTCGTGGAGGATGATGAACGACCCTAGCCCGTGGAGGATGATGAACGACCCTAGCTCGTGGAGGATGATGAACGACCCTAGCCCGTGGAGGATGATGTACGACCCCTAGCCTGTAGAGGATGATGAACGACCCTAGCTCGTTGAGGATGATGAACGACCCTAGCCCGTGGAGGATGATGAACGACACCTAGCCTGTAGAGGATGATGAACGACCCTAGCTCGTGGAGGATGATGAACGACCCTAGCCAGTGGAGGATGATGAACGACCCTTGGCCCGTGGAGGATGATGAACGACCCTAGCCAGTGGAGGATGATGAACGACCCTTGGCCCGTGGAGGATGATGAACGACCCTTGGCCCATGGACAATGATGAACGAGCCTGACCCGTAAAGTACATCGATTGCTATCTATCGACAGCAACTCCGCTGCTTACATGTGAATTCCCACTGTACCTGCAGGTTGGGTCGAGCAGCACCCGACGGAACCACCTCTGGACGACACGCTTACCTGGGAACAATATAAAACTTGTTAGTCACCAAGAACATAATGCAATGTATCAAAAAACAAAATGGAAAGGAATGAATAGAATAAATATAGAAATGGGTGAGAGTATGGGGGTGAGGGAGGTAGAGAGAGGGTGGGTGGTGGGGAGGTGTGAGGAAGGAGATTAGAAGAGTAGAAACAGTGCTAGAATAGTAGAAAGAAAGTAGAAAGGCTGAAGGATGAATGTTGATGCCAACATCCATTCAAATTCTGTACATACAAGACACGGAATGGAACTTGTCTGTATTTCAAGCCGCTATCAAATGTTAGCATGTGTCAACTGTAATCATGTATTAATTCAATACATGATTACATTAATTACATTAAGACTCATTAATTCAATAAGCTCAGAGGGCTCGCCACTCTAGCTTTCAAAATAAGAAGTTTTAGGGAACACAATTAAAGACAATTTAAACAATAAATTCATCAATTATATATTTAACATGATAGGTATAACAATTCAAGCAATTTAACTTAATCTTCAATATGTCCCCACCGGCCTGGACTGGCTGCGGGCTCAAGCCTGGACAGGCTGCGGGCTCAAGCCTTGACTGGCTGCGGGCTCAAGCCTTGACTGGCTGCGGGCTCAAGCCTTGACTGGCTGCGGGCTCAAGCGAGCTATCTCTCTCTGTGTGTCTGTCTCATCTGTGTATCCTGAATGTACAGTTCTCTGTGTATTTATGGGGGAACCGGAAATTAAGCCCCGTCTACTAAGTAGATAGCCTCAGGTTATCTACCTACCACGCGTTAAACAGCGGCTTGTTTGAAGGACACACCCGGCTACCTGTCTGCAATTATCGGCTTAGAAGAGAGCAAGGTCAATTGACACGACCTGACCCCTGATCAACTTGTGGTCATTAACACTCTACAGGTGTGACTTTTTAATTGCTAAAGCCAGACAAACCTGGAGCATACCTGGAAAGGGTTCTGGGAATTCTTCTACTCCCCGAGCCCGTCCTGAGGCCAGACTTGACTTGTGACACCTGGCGTCTTTCAATATCTTGTCTGATTGACTCATGTTCTATGTAAAATATTAACTAAATACCTTTATAGTGTTACAACAAGTTAGTCATTAGGAACACAAGCCAACGAGAACACAGAACACAAAATTATCAGTTGATGATTTCTAGAGTTGTTCTACTCCCATAGACCGGTCATCCCGGCCACTGCATGGTCTGTGAGGCTAGTTGCCTTCGTAGTCCGAAGGCCCACATGGCCATCACAGCCAGGCTGATCAAGAGTAACTTAACCCAAACAATATTCACGGTGAAATTACAATTAAATATATTTATTGACGCTTTTGCAACGTTGTCCAGGGGGTCCTGTCACCTAACTCGTGGCAGCGGGCTTTGTGACCTCTGGCAGCGGGCTTTGTGACCTCTGGCAGCGGGTTTTGTGACCTCTGGCAGCGGGCTTTGTGACCTCTGGCAGCGGGCTTTGTGACCTCTGGCAGCGGGCTTTGTGACCTCTGGCAGCGGGCTTTGTGACCTCTGGCAGCGGGCTTTGTGACCTCTGGCAGCGGGCTTTGTGACCTCTGGCAGCGGGCTTTGTGACCTCTGGCAGCGGGCTTTGTGACCTCTGGCAGCGGGCTTTGTGACCTCTGGCAGCGGGCTTCTATACCTGAATATGATACAAACAAAATAATGTTGACTGGCTCGTTCCCCTGAGATTATCCCTGGCAGCTGGCCCTCTCCAGCTGGCTTTGTGGGCATCACTTGAGTGGAGCGACATGCACAGAGAGGCGGAACTCACTCCGGCCATCATGTGGAGAACCTCTTGTCGTAGGCTTTTTCTGATGTCCCTCTTGCCTGGAAACCGCCAATATATAACGAGTGTGTGTTTCAAGTGGGAGCCTCCTATTGGTGGTCAAGGCCGCTATCCCCCGCCCACAGCTTCCTATTGGTGGTCAAGGCCGCTATCCCCGCCCAGAGCTTCCTATTGGTGGTCAAGGCCGCTATCCCCGCCCACAGCTTCCTATTGGTGGTCAAGGCCGCTATCCCCCGCCCACAGCTTCCTATTGGTGGTCAAGGCCGCTATCCCCCGCCCACAGCCTCCTATTGGTGGTCAAGGCCGCTATCCCCCGCCCACAGCCTCCTATTGGTGGTCAAGGCCGCTATCCCCGCCCACAGCCTCCTATTGGTGGTCAAGGCCGCTATCCCCCGCCCACAGCCTCCTATTGGTGGTCAAGGCCTCTATCCCCCGCCCACAGCCTCCTATTGGTGGTCAAGGCCGCTATCCCCCTCCCACAGCCTCCTATTGGTGGTCAAGGCCGCTATCCCCCGCCCACAGCTTCCTATTGGTGGTCAAGGCCGCTATCCCCCGCCCACAGCCTCCTATTGGTGGTCAAGGCCGCTACCCCCGCCCACAGCCTCCTATTGGTGGTCAAGGCCGCTATCCCCCGCCCACAGCCTCCTATTGGTGGTCAAGGCCGCTATCCCCCGCCCACAGCCTCCTATTGGTGGTCAAGGCCGCTATCCCCCGCCCACAGCTTCCTATTGGTGGTCAAGGCCGCTATCCCCGCCCACAGCTTCCTATTGGTGGTCAAGGCCGCCTTCCCCGCCCACAGCTTTCTATTGGTGGTCAAGGCCGCTATCCCCGCCCACAGCTTCCTATTGGTGGTCAAGGCCGCTATCCCCCGCCCACAGCTTCCTATTGGTGGTCAAGGCCGCTATCCCCGCCCACAGCTTCCTATTGGTGGTCAAGGCCGCTATCCCCCGCCCACAGCTTCCTATTGGTGGTCAAGGCCGCTACCCCCGTCCACAGCTTCCTACTGGTGGTCAAGGCCGCTACCCCCGTCCACAGCTTCCTATTGGTAGTCAAGGCCACTATCCCCCGCCCACAGCTTCCTATTGGTGGTCAAGGCCGCTATCCCCCGCCCACAGCTTCCTATTGGTGGTCAAGGCCGCTACCCCCCGCCCACGCTATCCCTCCTCTCATCTAAACTCTCTCACTCCTCATCACTTCACCCTTCTCATCCCCCCATACACAAGTCCCCCTCCCTCATCTTCCCTCACTAATCTCTCTTCTCACCCTAAGAGCGCCATCATTCTACAGACGCTGCACCCCCCCGCCCCCTTCGCCCCCCCTCCCCCAGCATCCACCGCCCCCCCCCCGCGTATCCACCCCCCCCCAGCCTCCACCGCTCCCCGCGAGCCTCCAAAGCCTCCACCGTCACCTGCACATGACCTCACCTTTACCTCTGTCATACAGACTTGATTAATAATATACATGGATGCTCCTTGTGTGCCATGAGGCCGGCCTCGACCAGCCGCTGCTGTAATACCGTCGTGTAACTGTGTCCCTTGTATCTCTATGTCTTGTATCAGTATCTGTATCTATCTCTCCGGTAACCTTTTTTTTATAGCTGTCAAGTCTTTCTTGGCCTATCTTTCATCTGTCTGTCTTGCATCTCTCTTGAGTCGTCCCTTTGGTGAGCTCATTCCACCTTAATTAAATCCCATCCACACCAGCGCTTGAGTGATTGCTCCATACCCAAGATCGCCCCCCCCCACCCCGCTGGGCTCGTGTTAGTGAGCTGACAGCAACAGTGTCTTCAGCAGTGCCATTGTCACTGCTGAACACACTGGCACTGCCTGGTATTATCGGCGTCTCAAGGGGACACGAGAAATGTTGGGTGGGGGGATAATTACATGGTAATTACGGGCTTCATGCAGAGAATCGTAATAATTCCTCGCCTTCTCTAAAATCATGGAATCATTAGGAGGAAGACTGCCGGAGGCTCGCACCGTTGGTCTCATTGTCGTGCCCGTTCTCATTGTCCCGGAGGAGAGCCAGGGTCAAGACCTGGCTTTCCAAAGATGGAAACCCTGTCGCCATGATGGAAGATCTTTTGTGTGTGTGTGTGTGTGTGTGTGTGTGTGTGTGTGTGTGTGTGTGTGTGTGTGTGTGTGTGTGTGTGTGTGTGTGTGTGTGTGTGTGTGTGTGTGTGTGTGTGTGTGTGTGTGTGTGTGTGTGTGTGTGTGTGTACTCACCTAGTTGTACTCACCTAGTTGTGTTTGCGGGGGTTGAGCTCTGGCTCTTTGGTCCCGCCTCTCAACCGTCAATCAACAGGTGTACAGATTCCTGAGCCTATCGGGCTCTGTCATATCTACACTTGAAACTGTGTATGGAGTCAGCCTCCACCACATCACTTCCTAATGCATTCCATTTGTCAACCACTCTGACACTAAAAAAGTTCTTTCTAATATCTCTGTGGCTCATTTGGGCACTCAGTTTCCACCTGTGTCCCCTAGTACGTGTGCCCCTTGTGTTAAATAGACTGTCTTTATCTACCCTATCAATCCCCTTCAGAATCTTGAATGTGGTGATCATGTCCCCCCTAACTCTTCTGTCTTCCAGCGAAGTGAGGTTTAATTCCCGTAGTCTCTCCTCGTAGCTCATACCTCTCAGCTCGGGTACTAGTCTGGTGGCAAACCTTTGAACCTTTTCCAGTTTAGTCTTATCCTTGACTAGATATGGACTCCATGCTGGGGCTGCATACTCCAGGATTGGCCTGACATATGTGGTATACAAAGTTCTGAATGATTCTTTACACAAGTTTCTGAA